CCCCGAATTCATAAAGACATAGAAAGCAATTCGAATAACATAACTAATCTCACGACAATAAGAAACATAGCTATTCCACAGTTCTTTTTTTTTTTTAAACAACAATACTAGGAAAGACATAATAATGACAAACTTACTTTTATGTACAAAAAAACCATGACATTTTGTAAACAAAATCCCAGCATCATTTTCACAAGAGCAGACAGGGAAACGACCGTAGCAATGACCAAAGAATTTTATATAGACAAAGTTGAAGAATTATTAAATGACAAAGATAATTATATGACAATCAAAAACAATCCAATAATAAAATAGAAAAAAGACCTTAACAAAAATAAAACAATGGTTAAAAAATGAATGGATCACAAAAAAAAGACTATTATTGTTTAAGTTCCAGTGATTCAGTGCTTCCTAAAGCATATGGCTTGCCCAAAATTCACAAGGAAAATGTTCCATTCAGAGTAATAGTATCGTCGGTCAATACAGCACTACATCATTTAGCTGCATATTTACAAAATTTTAGTGACAAGTTTACCCAAAAGGGAAAAGTCATGTTAACAATAGTTTGAATTGTGCAACGCTTGTCTGATCTTAAATTAAATAACAATGAAACAATCGTATTTGGATGTGATATCGTTGTTCACAAATGTTCCTGTGGACCTTGCAATAGACAGCATAAATAATAGATGGCATTACATTGAAAACCACACATCAATAGACAAAAATGAGTTTGTTAATGTAATTAAATTCATTTTGACTTCAACGTACTTCACATTCAACGAAACGATCTATAAACAAATACATGGAACTCTATGGGATCGCCTATCTCCAATTATTGCGGATATTGTCATGCAAGATATAGAAACTAGGATTCTTGAAACTATAAAGGTTAATATAAGGTTTTACTATCGCTACGTCGATGATATCTTGCTTTGCTTGCCGGAAGATCAAGTCACATATCTAGTAGAAAAATTTAATGATTGTCACGATAGATTAAAATTCACAATAGAAAGAGAGGATAACCGTAGCATAAGTTTTTAGATATCTCACTCAAAATTATAAATAACATAATATACATAGATTGGTTTCAGAAAAAACATTTTCGGGTAGAACACTCTCATATCATTCAAATCATCCTATATGCCACAAAAAAGTGTAATATATAATTTAGTAGACCGGTCAATATTATTATCACATCCCGTTTTCATAGTAAAAATTTAACATTAATCATAGAGATTTTATTGAGCAATAGTTATCCTCTTGATCTCATTTTCTCAGAAATCAATAATAGACTGAAGTTCCTTATTGTTAATAGATTAAACAAAGAAATGACTCAAGATATAAATAACGAAATCATAAATAATGACAATAATAAAAAATTCATAGCGATACCTTATATTGAAAGAATCTCGGAACTAGTAGCATCAGAATTAAAGAAATCAAATATAACAGTAGGATACAGATGTCTAAAGAAATTAAACAGAGTCATAAAAACGCAAAAAGACAGAGATAAGCTCCAAAATAATTCGGGGGTCATATATAAGATTTCGTGTAATAATTGTGATGCTACATAGGTAGGACAGACGAAAAGACAATTAGGTACAAGAGTAAATGAACATAAAAATAATATTAGATTAGATTCAGCAAGGCACTCGGTGGTTTCTGATCATATTGTAAAATTTACACACAATTTCAATTGGAACGACACAAAAATCCTAGATTATGAAAAGAATTATTATAAAAGGTTGATATCAGAAATGATATATATAAAGAAGAAAACAACAGTATCAACCTAAAAAAGGACACCGAGCGTCTTGACGGTTCTTATTATGATATTTAAAAAAAATTGTCTACGTCATCTTAAAAATTGGGTATATATACAGCGCCGACATTGTAAGATACAGATATCGATTTGTTTTTAAAAAAGTACACATTGTGATTATGTTAAGTAAAAAGAAATAATTTTTAAAAGGGTGTTATGTTCGTTGACAAAAAAGTAAGTTAATACTATTTATTAAAAATCTAAAATGTAATATTTGAGCGGATATATTAATTTGTTCACAGTGTCGTTACATAATATAACAGCATCTGACGCTCTAACTCATGCCAACAATCATGAATTTTATACTGCGTTCGTCATATAATCTTATAATTGTTGTATTTATTTATGAGGTCGAAATGACTAAATTAATTTTTTAACATATTATTAGGATATTGAGAAAGACTGTCGTACAGTCGAAACGTTTATCGTAAACTTTTGTATAGTATGACGTAAATTAATAAATAAAAATTTTCAATTTATAGCATATAAGCTCGTTAAGTTGGCCTTTTATTATATCACATATTTTAAGAAATCTAATTCGCGCGTCCTATATAATCTCTCGCTCCGCGATTGGCGTGTTATTCGGCTAGGATATATAACGACCGTGATTCGAGAGATGCGAGAGCATCGAATTATTTATTAATACTTTATAATACGTTTGGATATCGGCTCTTAAGTCAACGCGTTTCGAGCTCAGATGATCCCGCGTATCTCCTCTCATCCTATGTACTATTATTTCGGAGAGAGACTCCGAATCTCGCGATCAACCGCGGAAAGGAGACTCGTTCAGCAGAGTTCATCGACATCTCGCCACCACGGTTCTATTCTACTCGCGTCTGGCATCGTGTTCTCGTCCGCGCGACGTCTCGTTATTCACCAATTAATATCCGCCGCGCACGTGGAACGCTCGCATCTTTAACGAGGCTGCGCTCTTTCTCTCTTTCCTACGCGCGAAAATTGTTTTCTCGCCTTCGCGTCTTCGCATCATCGATTATTAGTTACAGAGAAGAGCTCGTAAATTTAGTTCATTAGTCGGATTCAAATTATATACAAATGTAATATTTAAATTTATATTAATATTTTGACATTAAATAAAATATATTTATGTAATATTATATACTAATATTATACAATATAATATTACGTAAATATAATATATATAATAATATTATATAAATATAATATATTATATATAGGTGCAGTTAAATAAGTGCAAAAAAATTTTACGAGATGATTCTTTGTTGAAAATTAAGAGGGGTTTCTTATATAAACATATATACTCTTATATATCCTTTCCTGAGAAGTTACACTTTTTTAAAAGAGGGAGTTGACTAATTAAACATTAAGTTTTTATTTTTTTTTTACATTTCAGACAAATGATAAAAAAATAACTTAATTTTTACCTATATATAATCTATATATATTTCTATTAGTTCACGTTGAAGAAGGGTTAAAAAAGGACCGAAACGTGTATTGTTTTTTGATTAATTAATAAGTCAAAAACATGAGATTTGGTGACTTGGCTCCTACTGCCTTATAGATATTTTTTTTTTTTTAATTATTAATATATTATATAATATTAAATATATTGCATAAACGTCTAATAAAAAAATTTTAAATGCAAAATGATGATCTAATATCCGCAATACATATTCATTAATCTAAGAAAATTAATCAATGCTAATCAAAATTGAGAAATGTAAAATATGCAGGCAATTAATTTAATTTTATTCGATAAATATTATTTATTCCATCGATAAAAAAACTTTTTAAAACTGTCAAAATAAATGTCTGTCTCGTAAATATTAATAAAGATATAGATATAAATAAACGCGGTAATCTTTGCCTTTTCTTTCATAATATTATAGATTTAATCTAATATGTAAATACTGGTCTTTGCACAAATGATTAAAAAAACGATACTTTATAATAAATGAGCATCTAGATTACTGTATAATAAAGCGTAATAAATGCCGTTCTTTTCCACCGCATACATAATTAATGTCGTTTATTTACCATGAACATTTTAGCCCGAGCTTTTAGCATCGATTGTACAATATGTAACGGAGCATACTTACAATCGTCAAGTAATGACATCGGCGCGCTAATAATTAATCAATACCGAAAGAAAGCGCGAGCTGACATAATAATATACACAAGGCACAATCGAGCAATAAAACAAATCAAGATAGTTATTGCCCGATCGAGAGCCTACAATAATGCACCTGCGAGACCGAAAACACCTGCGCGCACCTGTTAACACCCCCGCGCCCGGAATACCGCCGAGGCGGAAGTGACGTCAGCGCGCGCGCACAGGTGCAACGGGTATGTTTACGGTATCTCGACGGCCGAAAATAGCATATAGACGTTACGAGATGTCGAGATCAAAGGTGCAAGGAAAACGAACGAATGAATCAAAATCCTCTCTCTCTCTCTCTTTCGTTCAATAATAATATAGCCACATTGAAACAAATGCATTAAATTAGAATAAATATTTATTTCATATATGTATAAGAAAATCCTTTTCAAAAATAAATGGTTTATTAAGCAGTATTGAAACAAATATTATTAATTATAATCATTTTTTTCAGTGCACCTTGAACTTTGAAGAATAAAAGAATAAACTTGAAAAAGAATAAATTTCAAAAGTAAAAAAAATTCATCAATGTCTTGTCTAATGAAGAATAACATGAAAACATGATTTACGAGTCGTATTTTATTGCGGAATATTTTTTTTCGAGTAACATAACGATGCAAAAATAGCATAAAATACGATGCAAACATAATAATTAAAAAAATTAACGAATTATCGGCATAAATTTTTTAATTTATAAAAAACATTCATATTAACCATGAATGGACTTTTATTTGATCGGCTGTGATCCACTCTTCGATTGTAATCGGATTAGATTTTATTTATATGCGCAATAAAAGTTATATATATATGTGTGTGTCTGTGAAACGATATTAATTTAAAGTTGCGTTACTCTAAACATGCTGCACGCACGTCAATTTCAATTTATTATCCCTCGTATCGTCGGTGAATAGCAATTTTTATGACATATTTATACGCGATGTTAGAAGATTATAGGATACGACGATTCCATGCATAATTACGATAAACGAGCGTCATAATGAGTACGCGTTATGCCAAGTGGAAAGGCTATATATCGATTTATAGTAGAACCGCATAATCTATACTTCGAAATAGTTGTATGTAAACGATTTCAAGTTATAAAGAAACTTGAAGAAAACAAAATGTTATCATTTTTGAATCCACATATCCGGGGACTTATAATACGCGAAAGTACCAAAAAAATTGTCTGAATCTTTTTATGTGCAAATCGATAAGATTTCTCTGGTATTTGCAAGAAATGAACACGTTTCGAATATTTTTAATTAATCGTACAACTCGATTTGTATCTTTCGCAAAAAACTGAAATTTTCGTTCGTATGTGAGATAAATTATTATTTCGAATAATCGGCTTTCGATTATTACACGGTATTGTCAAAATGTAAATTTAAATTACAGTTACAAATATTTCTGCAACTGCAAAGTTACAGCTTAAAATTGTATTTAAATTGACTTTTAAAAAGACAATAAGACTCTTTAGTTTAAAGTTGACGTAGAATTATTACATTATTTTTTCAAACCTCACGATAAAAAACGATATAAAAAGTTTCACAGGATAAAAGTGGGATATTGCGTGTGAGTGAATTTGGCGTTCAAAGATATAAAATTTGATTAATTAAAACTACCCCATTTAAATGATCGAAGAGCAATAAAATTATAACGAAATAAGTTCCTGAATTCTTAATAATTGATGAGTTCAATAATACATCGGCTTCACGCACATAAAATCACATAAACTAATAATAAATATCTTCAACAATGCCAATTTAATAACAGCTATTAAAAGGATCGTCAAACATTAAAATGATATGTTAGAAAAAGTTCTTAAGAGTTCTCGTAAAAGAACAGAACTTTGCACAAATTCAATATTGCACACTTCAAATATACTTATTTATCATTAGTTTACAATGTAATTATTAGCACTCTTCATTATTTTTTTTTTTTAATAAAATAAACTCGTAGGTATATACAAACATTTATTTATATCCGTTGAAAAACCGCAGATCCTTTTTTTGACACAATTTTGTCTCTCGTGCATGCATTAAAAAATGACAGCTGATTAGTTGCAGCAATTTCCTATGGGACACCTGTATAGAAACCGGAGGATCGCGAGGTCGGTCGACCGAGAATCTTGGGATTCCGCGATGCGCGGCAGTTATTTTCACGATCAACCGTTATTGTTACTATCGCCTCGTGACGCACGTTACGCGCTTCGCCGACAATGAGAGGAATATTCCGCTGGACTTTCGACAGAGCACAGGGAGGGAAGAAAGAGAGAGAGGAAAAGACACAACGCGGCACAGGGTGACGTTTCGAGAGAGAATTGTCATCGCGAACGGTGACGGGAACGAGAGAGAAGACTATCGGGGAAAAAGTAAGAGAGAGAGAGAGTGAGAAAGAGAGAGGATTCTCTATTACGGACGGATAATACCCGGCTGCAGCTGACTGCTGAGTGCAAATGTTAGTCGTTTAACTTTTTAGATGAATCGCGATGAGAAACGGCATTAGAATACACGCAGTCAATGGTTAATTAAAACGAACGTATGATAATTTCATTTGATGATTCATTCTTTTGCTGAAGATGAAAGAAAAAGGCGCGAAAAATCGGAGAAGTCATCTATATTTAGTTATTTGAGAAAAATAATAATAGGCGAAAGATAGAATATATATTCATTTTTAGGAGATTATAATTCTACGTCAATGCAAGAGAGGATTAATTTTGACATATATAGAGTTTCATTAATATAAAATTAATTAAAATAAATTCTAGGAGTTACAAAGAGATATATAAGAACCATAAAATCACTATCAAGGAACTAATCGCTAAGAGCTTATCGAGATGTACATAATAAACAAATCGGTATATATATATATGTGTGTGTGAAGTCTTTAAGATTGGACTCACCTTGAGTTGATGCAGCTGTTGCTCGTGCATTTCAGTCCAATTGTCGTTCCTGGGCCTGGTATTGCTGCCGGAGGATCTGCTGTTGAAGGTGATGCTGCTGCTGTAGCTGGAAACAATCCAGATATCTCAAGGGTATTGTAATGTCCTTAATGAAGAATAAAATATTAAAAATATCTGAACAATGAAGAGACCGAGTGAATATAATTCGCGCAAGTATGGGACACAAAAGTCACTCGATATCGTATTTTTTCTTCAATTGAAAAATCGTCACAAAGCCTATGTTTTACGATATACTATTTTTTTATTCTATTATCAGAATATATTAATTCATTAGCAGACATTTATTTTATTTTATTTTATTTTTTTTCGATCAGTCAAACGGATGAAGAATAAAGGAAAAAAAGCAGACAAACACGGAGATGCAGATTTATGCGCGGGGTCCTTTCAATGTGTTTCTGAATAAGCTTTTGTTGAGCGTCAAGTGGAAATGCGAAAGTATGCATAGCGCAAAAGTTTCACCGCCAACATGGCGCGCGCATTTGATCCGTTTAATCCAATTCACCGTGTCTCTCGAATGATTTTCGTTGTCGCGTTCGTAGCACGTAGGCGACTTTGACCCGTCCTTTCTCAGAAGGAAGTGCGTGGGTCGCACTGACCACGAAGACCAAAACAATTTCGTCCAATTGGTTACGTCCACGAACGAGAGCGCGAACTCTATCGCCATGTGATTCCCCATTGCACTGGGTAAGAATGTTTAAAAACAAATCGAACGTGACGGAAGAGAGAATTAGGTATGTCGGACATTACTCTACACGGCGAAAATTTTCTCTTAGAATTTTTACCCTGAAAATCATACTGAAAGATTTTTATAAGTTCTCTGATTAACATTTACTACAATAAAAAATATTAATATATATGTACGTATTGTGGTAGATATTCATATTTTTATTATGGTAAATATTAAGCAGAAAAACTTGTATATAAAATTCTTTTAATATATACCATATTGTTCCACAATTATTATGATTTCATGGTAAAATCTAAGAAGAAGTTCTCTCTGTGTAGAATTGATAGAATTGATATCCTTCAAGCTGGGATATTTATTCTCCTTTTAGAAACAAAATTGGAAAAAAACCAGAACGAAAATAACTTGAATCCTGGGAACTTTAATTAAGTTTCCGAGAACGCGATTCTTAAGTTCCGATTAGTCATTACTGAAGTGACAGAGTCTTAACGATAATTTAAATTATTGGCTCTTATACAGAAAAATCCACAAAAGTCGAAAGCTTCGAAATGATTGATGAATCGAAATTCGAAGATAATTGTAAAAAGATGCAATTTTGTAGATTAATTTTCATAATTAACTTCACGACGAGCTTAATTTCAAGCCGTTATAATTGACAGTTGAACATCGCTTTGTCACTGTCACCATAATTCATACATCAATCTATTAACCAAAAGCTGATCAAGTCTAAAATTTTCGAATAAATTGATACACATTGCGATGTATCGTGAAAAATAATTGTCGTTATAAATTGTGTCGCAAAAGAATACTGAATTAATTAAAACAGATCCGGGAGGAAAATTGGAAAAAATGAACTTTACGGGACAATATAAAGCGAGGACCCTCGCCTTCATTATGCCTCCTAATGAAGGACCGACCTCGGGATGGAAAGGATACGCCCTTCGAATTACAGCATTCGCGGTAGGTTTCGGCATTTGCGTCCTACTGTTTCGAGGAAATAGTTCGTTTGGCAGAAGATGGAGAAGCTTCCGTAGAAATCGTAGAACTCCAACTGTGTCGAACGTCTCGAGTGCCGATTTGAGTACCACCGAAATGAAAGAGTTCAAAAGGTACAATTTTTATAAGAGAGACGCGCGCTATATTAATATAATATATTTTTCTATTAAATGTAAAATATAAAATTCCATTTTTATGTATAAATATAATTTCGTTTTCTTACATATACTCTTTTATAATTTTTTAAAATATTTTCTTTTATACTGACGTGTACATGTGCACTGTATATATGTAAAATTACATAAAGAAATATATAAAATTACACAAATAATAAGTGTAAAATACACGATCGTGTAATTTTACATTTAATATTTACGTAATCTTACAAATTTTTATGTAATATGTTACATATATTTTTTTTACAGTGTGTATGTACTATGTATATTTGAACATTAATGTTTACGTTCCAACACGCGTTTATTTGCCGGTTTTAACTTATTTAATAAAAGCAACGTGTATCAACACAACAACGCGGGTGCGTTGCACATGCGTATGACAGGAGGTAAACGGCGCACTTTCGTTTCCTCGACAGTGACGACAGACCCACGATGACGTACAACGGCGAAATCTGTCCGATCTGTTTAAACACGCCGAGGATGGGCGTGAAAGCCCCCTGCGGTCACTTGTTGTGCGCTGAGTGCCTGGCGAGTTATTGCGATGTTAGAATAGCACCTGCGCCACCACCTTGTCCATTATGCAGAGCGCCGCTGAAATCGATGACCTTGGCCGAATTGTTAGTGTAACACAACGCGCCAACTTCGACCACGATAAGTGAGCCGGAATACAGTGAGATGTAAAGATAAGATGTACGAGAAGGTTTATAGAGATATAGACCGTAAAAAAGTGGAAAATATCCGTATATAATAGAGGAGAAAAATTATCTTCTTACAATTAGGTCATTTCACTGTATTTCACCTAAACTGATAGCCTTACAAGGATAATTTATGTTAAAATACACATTTGGCTCGGAACAGCAATTGAAAATTCGAGATAAAAGAGTTAGGTATACAGAGTGTCTGACTAAAGTGTCACACCGAAAATTTACAAGTAGATCTCGTTATTTGGAGACGATTTTTTCTCAGCAAAAAAATCGAGGGAGGCTATTATTTTTGCATGTTCTAAATTTTTGCCATTATCTTTATAATTAAACCTTAAATTAAAATTTTATTAAAGTAAACTCTACTTGAAATTAATTGGAGAATACGGTTTTGTTAATATTTTATTTCCACAAGGCTTATTGTTAGTTTGCAAAAAACCCTTTACTTTCAATCGCTTATAACTTGAAAATTATTGATGCCTCAATATTTTTGCCGAGGAAAAATTGTCTCCAAATAACAGATCTACTTGTATATTTTCGGTCAGACACCCTGCATACAGAGAATTCTTTCTTCGGGTTAATGTTTCATTAAGTAATTTAATTACAGGCTGTTCTAGGTCCCAAAATAATAGATCCAAGCACCATCATGGTGCAAGACTGGATACGCGAATATAATCGTCGCAGTTCGATGTCGATATGGAAATCCATGATGGCGCGGCTCACCCTTTTTTTCAACATCTTCACTTTCATTCTAATTGTCGGATTAATCGCTGCGAGGCTTTCGATTTTTTCGGAAATATAAATATAAATTTTAAAATCTTATCGCGCAAATAATTATCGTTAGGAAGCTTCTCGACAAGATACGCGTTTATCATTAACGCTTTTTTCAAAATGAATGACATCATCCTTTGCAAATTATCTGTTGCAAATTATGAATTTGCAAGTATGAGTAATGAATAAAAAAAGAAGAAATGAAGCGCATACTTTGCATATAATAATAATGATATTGATACCCGATTCAAGACGCAAATGCAGGTATTATCCTGGGAAAACTAAACGTCATATGTTTACATTATCGATAGTGACATTGCATTAATCATATGCTAGTTCAAGAGCCAAAGCTCATAGGTTAATTTAAATTCTACCGACATACCTCGCCATGTTATATTGGTAGTTTGCGCGAGATTCTTCATACAATTTATCATTACATAAGCGTCAGTACTAATATAAGCTTAAGAATTATATAACAACATGAACAACTTGCTTCAATTTTCTTGCTCGTGTTTATATTAATCGCATTTTTTTTTTTTCATTTTAGGTAAAGAAACTATAGATATCATCTCATGAGTAATCGTAAATTATGCAAAAAATCAAGATCTATTACTGATAGATGCACTCTTTGGATCTACTCTGTGATGTTGTAATGCGAGAAAATAAAAATGAAAATTAATGTTGTCGAATCAATCAAAGATCGAGAATTAAATAATTTTTTTATTATTCTTTTTTTTAATTTATTTATATATGTCTCCGATGTGCATTATGCAATAAAATCATGTTATCATATAATAGCTGAAAGTATCATTATGCTTATAGTTTACTTTCTCATCTCGTAAGGAAAACATTTGTTTGCAAATCTCTTAATGTAATCGGGCACACATTGTCTAATTCATTTATAAAAAAATGATAGAAAAACTTTGAAAAATTGAAAATTGTAATTCGACAAAGAATGCAATTGATGCAAATATACAATTATACAATTGTACAATTGTACAATGCAAATATACAACTGTTTACTTGTTCATAACAGTTGCTTTCCATTTACATCAAAATTCACAATCAGATAAATCAGATAAATCTCACTTCTGTCTTTTTTTAACGTGGATGTTGAAGAAAGACAGAAGTAAAATTTATCTGAGTTTTGATGTAAATGGAAAGCAACTAATGATAAACTATACTTTGAACATATTGTTTAAATGTTTTAAATTTTATTTCTTTTATCTAATCTAAAGTTGGATTAGAATTGACTCATAAACGGATGTAAATATCTATATATGTATATAAAAAAGATACAATCTCTTCAAATATTTCTGACAACAAGAATATGTTTATATTATATAAAATCCTATTATAACAATCTTTTTTTTGTATAAAATATATAAAAATGAATGGTAATATCGAAAAAAAAAAAAAAAAAAAAAAAAATATAAGCATAAATTACACAATAAATTCTATAATTATAGATTAATAAAAAATATATATATAAACACGCGCGTGAATTTATATATATCTTTAATCGCAACATCATTTTGTTACTTATTAATAAATTATATGAGAAATATTTTCGATAGAATAAAAGATAATTGGAGCCGCGATTGCGTAAACCTTATGTCAATTAAAAAAGCGTTCGTGTGACGTATCTCGGCTCCGCAAAAACAAATGGCTATTAGAGGTGAGCTTATCGTCGTTGCATCAATATCATTTGTGTGAATTCCGATTCATTTGCCCCGATAAGGTAGACGCGCGCAGAAAATAACCCACCCTCCCGATATCTCCCACTATTTATCGCCGTCAAACGTATGGTAATTGAATTCTATATTCGCCGAATAAAACGCACGCATTACGCAGCAGGATGCAATTTTACGCGCCGTGTCGCCGAGATTTCCGCCAAACAATAGGACACGATCACGTCATCTTTATATATAAACATAAATATTTATATACATACATACATAAAATATGCGATAGGCTGGGAAACAATATTTGCTATTCTATGATAATTTTAATAACAAATTTTTTCGAAGGAAGAATCGATTGAAATTAATTTCCTTCCCGTTTAAATTATATGTATATTCTTTAAATCTCCCTCTAGAAAGAAATCGATTCCAAATTATCAGAAGTAATCTGTTATTACTTTAATGGTGAATATTTTAATAATTACAAAATTACAGAAGACATTTTTTCATGAAAAGTATATCCTTATTATAAAGAAACTATATTATCTTGATATAAGCTGGAATTCCTTTAGTTTCTATTTTAAAGAGAAAATTATCAAGAAATATTTTTCAAAAATAAGAAAAAAGTACGATAACACAAAACTCTGTGAGAAGACTTGAATAAAATAAACGCCATCTCATTAAAATGTACGATGTTTGGGGTTTTAATTAAATGTATGCTACACACTATGAAATACGTCATGTATGCAATATTCAAATATATTTTATGCATTACATACCTATATGTATATATTTCAAGATTGTTTCCAGCCTTTTGTTTTCGAGGGAACGAAATCCGATGCAATATAACGAAACGTAATACTGCAGTTAGAGAAAATATCGTATGCGATATATATGTTTTCTTTCCGGTGGATTCTCCGCAAACATTAAATTTGGCCTTCGCGAAAGTATCGGCGACCTTGAACTTAATTGCCATGTTACTAAAGCGCGCACGATCGATCGAACTCACCCGAAACTGTGTGAGAGCTCGATTGCAGTAATCTAAACTTCATCGTATACATACCTATATTTCGATGGAAGCAAATTTGTGCGATACACAATTATCTATCGCTGCCGTAAATTCATTTCAATGCGATATACTGGCACAAAAGATTCGCATTTTCCTTTTCAAATCATTTTATGTCAAATCCTTTTATTAGGAAGACTTACGATTCAGAATAACATGTACACACATTTCGTATTTTATATACGTCCACAAATAAATCGTTCTCTTTCTCTCTTTTTTAATAAAAGGATTTAATATAAAATAGTTTTGATCAAATAAAAAAATAATAAATACGTCCTTTTAAAATAGCAAACAGATCTAGCTTTCTTCCGTGTTACTTTAAATCGTATATCAAACACATTTCGTAAAAGAGTATTGATGTATTTATTTTCACGGAAAATTGTCACTCTAATAAATATAATTAGATTTGTGAATTAAAAGATATCTATTTTATAATCTATTGACTAAAACAACATTACGCTCGCACCATTCTTCGATATTATATTTAAAAAAATATTTTCAAAAACATATGTAAAGTTTACTAGATTAATATATTTTTTGACAGAAATCAGCTGATAACTATCAAAATTTTCTGAAATTTATTTCATACACATCGATCCATTCTATATAGATATACAATGTATACATGTATATACACTGTAACAAATATGTAATATCTTACATAAAAATATGTAAAATTACATAAATAATAAATGTAATTTTACATATTTTTTTTTACAATATAGATACATATACACAGATTAACAGAGGGAGATTTTGGGGGATCAAAATTCTCTCCTTCCGAATAAAAAAATTTTTTTTTTAAATTTTGCTAAATCTGTTGCAAAAATTTCGGAAAAAAATCTCAAGCCAAACAATTTTACCAGACTCTTCCTCTTCTTTTCCCCACATGATTGAAATCAGGATCTGCTAATGTAAACATGCGTATAGATATATATATATATAGTCGTACATTACCTGGAGTATCCTCTGCTGCAGCGCGTGGCCGTGCAAGCTGGCGGTGTCGGCCGCCGCGGCGTGATAAGCACCGGAAGTCAGGGTGGCGGTCGCCGTTCCTCCCCCATTGCCAGCGCCCAAATCTCGCGGTCGCGGCATCGGCGAGCCCGGCGTATCCCTGGCCATCTCTACGCACATGTAACAATAACAGCACACGTCCGGTAACATGCTCTCGTGAGCGATCGCGTGGCGATGACGATGGACGATCCGATGGTGGTGATGCGGACTTCCGCCGCCGACGAACTTCACGCTCGTGCTTTCCGCGCGCGGATATCGCTCGAACGCGCTCGCTCGTTCCACGTAAACCCTCATAGTCTCTTATTTTTATTTTCGTTTTTTTTTTAGATTTTAAGATTATGACGTTTCGATATCGCAGTACACGACAATGAATTTATTTATCATTTATTTCCGCGAAATGAAGTGCGAGAAATAAAATGTATTTATTAGCAGATTGAAAAGTCGTAACAACTGGTATTAAAAAATTCAGAAAATGGATTCACTTCTCTCCCTCCTACTAAGTCACTTACTGATGTCTCGATAATTTTTATCAATATTCGTTCAATAATACATGACGCGATATTTCACTCGTTACCAGCTAACTGTTGTCTCTTATCGATATTTATTCAACAACGCACCCCGTGATTTACATTTAATTTAAATATCGGGAAAAGAAATCAACACACACAACAGGCGCCACTAAAATCATCGACGGTAAATGTCTCGTTACGTATATATCTCGGCTGTTTAAAATCCTTCGAGCCGTCTTTCTCTCTGTCCTTCGTCGACGTCCAAATAAATAGTTTCAAAACGTTGTCAAAAATATGAAATATTGAGGAAAGCGAAAATCGTACATACATAAATAGCGGAAAGAATCAAAGTTTGTTTGTTTCGTGTCGTGAATATTTCTACGTTTCCAGACAACGTCGAGTTTCTGGGAGACACGAGGCGCAATTACATCAATTCGGTTGTTATTTTCTTCCTTTTTTTTTCGGGTTACCCGAGTCTCTAATTTGGAAAGGATCTGACGGAGTCGGGCAATTTTCGAGAGTTCCGCGGCAACGTGATCTCTCTCTTCTTGGGTCCTCTCATTATTGCCGGGCTCGAATAAGATAAAGGAAACAAAAAACCCAGCAGCGATTCCTGGACACGTTCTTGCACCCTCCGCTGCCTTATCACCCGCGACAACACTAGAAGAAGAGGAACTCGCGCGGAACTCGCGCGCGTGTGTCGCGGCCGATGTTTATCGCCTCGTTATTCGTCCGCGACGCGATAACGCGGCTATTTTTAGCGTTTATTACGCGCAATGAAACGAACACACGCAACGCTTATCACTCCCGCAGACACGAGGCAATGACGAGCAGGCACTCTGTTTTCGCGCCTGTCGCCAATTTTGGCGTACGAAATGAATTTCAGAAAATCTTGATAGTTATCAGCTGATTTCTGTCAAAAAATATATTAATCTAGTTAAAGAGGTCCGAAAAAAGATCAAGACGCGAAAATTTGTCCGCGCACTATAACATCATGATAAATCGATTGTATATCGCGCACTAACGCGACGAAAAATCGCTCTCCATCGAAATTTTACGTCGCCATGAAATTCCAGGAAAAAGTTGCGCGTGTTCCCGCGATAAAGCGTTTCACAGATTCCGCTTATCAGCGTTCGGGAGTCACAAGTTCAACGAGCTGCCTCCCTCGACGACGCACTCCCAGAGTTTGAGAGCCGATACGGTATGCACTACTTGGCTTATATATGTGCTCGGCGATCCGGATATACTCCTCTTTCTCTCGTCTCTCCCACCGCGGAACGACGGAACTTCACAGGTGGGACCTCCTCGTGTTTTCTCGCGACCTCGGGGCCGTCGCGCGCGTGCAGGAAACGACGGCGAGCCGCGCACGAGGTGGAAGAGAAGGAGGAACTTATATACGTCGCTCGGTCAGCGCTAAATTTAGCTCCGCGCTGGAAACGATTACGCGAGAAGCCAAGATGCGAGGTGAGAGAAACGATGAGGGAAGGAGAGACTCTGTGTGACACGCATTAAAAAAAAAAAAAAAAGCAAGGAAGAGGGAGGAATTAAAAGGAAACCTCGTCCTCTCGGAAGACGGAGCGCGACTGAGCCGATCGCGACCGCGAGTTGTTCTGATATAATTCCCTCATCAACGCGCGATGAGAGAAGGACTGGATGATGGACGGATGCTGCATCGAAAGCGGGGAACCTCCGCGAGATATTGGCCAATCGCGAGAGTGACGTTTTCGCTCGCGCTCACGTGGTCTCTATATCTTCTCTTTTCCCTCTCTCTCTCTCTCTTTTATTTCTCCACTTCGGAACTCGCGAGCGACGAGGAATTCTTCACCGGAGAAAATTCCATGGATGCTGACGGAGAGTACCACGTGCGGGATTGAATTGTGCTAGAAGTGGAATAATTTTCCCGAAATTTGTTTATTTAAAAAAACAACTCTTATTGTCGCTGAAGTATGATAATAAAGGGGTATAAAAGAGACTCGTCCCGTTGCTATCAAGCTTTTGTATTCCTTTATTCTCGGCTCGAAAACCCCATATGTTAACCATGTGTTGCCTATTCTTAACTTTTCTCCACTTCTTTCAACTTCACTCATATTCTAATATGACCTAATAACTTTTTGACCCGCCCAAAATTTCTCTTTGTATAAGTTTTACGTATATGATTTAATATTGAATAACTATTTTTGCAAGCAAAGAATTGCTTTTTGGCTTTATTTTTTTTTTTTTATTCAACAAACACAGGATATGAAGACTAAATAAAAGAGAAAAAAAGAATATACTTGACTATTGATGGAACTTCTATTTCTACTTCTCTTCTAATGTAAGTATACTCATTCAAGATTATCGAGTTGGTATATGTCTACAAAATCATTCTTTTCAATAAAACTTTTATTGCGAAAAAAGACCTTTTCAAAATTGTTATTCAAAATTTAAATCTATTATTCAAACTTGATCTTTATACTTTCCTTTGCTCTTCTTCTTTACCCTTATCGAAAGAAATATGTATTTATCTAACGCATTATAATAAATATAATAAATGCGTAACCGTATATATATATTTCTGAATAAATGCCGAAGATAAAAAAAGCTAATTACAAAGCTATTAGAAAGATATTAAAGATAATTTTTCAGTTCAACATAATTAAGTTAAATCTAAACTCGATATTTTTAAAGATTTAAAAAAGATTCAATATAAATAGTACATATTATAAAATTCTTTTATAATATATACAAAATGTAAAAAAAATAAATTATTATAAATAATTTAATAACAAATATTAATTTATCGAGTAATACTTCAAATATCATAGTAATAAGAGAATTTAGTGTCAGACACATAAAAAAATAAAAAAATAAAAAAAAATGTATACAATACATTCTATTTTCCTCAAAATTAAATTGCCCTCTTTTTTTTCAATTTTTCTTTTACTATACATTGATATATTTTATAGAAGTATATTATTATAGCCATTTTGAAAAGCAATATCAATATTGAATCGAGGAGTTGCTCCTATCTCTGAATCTATACACGATAACATACATAAATGGATATAAATAGATCTGTATTTAAAATTTCAAGGTTATCAAAATCTACGAGTTGCGCGCTGTCCAAAAATATGAGTATCAAATATTCGGAAAAATGAATCGTCGAATACGAAAACGTAAACGCGGCGCCTTAATAGACTTCGACAAATTTAGATACATTGATAATCACGCGTAAATAACGACACGTGTATGTATATGTGTAAATACGTGTGTCACGCTCGTTTCTGCACGCGCGTGCGAGAAAATAAAATTATTACGTTAAATCTTAATCGCGCATCGCATTACATCTTCTTCTCGGATGTTTTTCCTTTTTTAATTACGTAACGAGATATATACTATATATATATGTATGTTTTTTTGAATGTGTATAATTATACTACGTCGCATATTTAGTATTCCGCTCTGAATAAAATTCTTTATCTGCAATTCTTTATCTGGGCATTACACGTAGCATGTCACATTATACGTGAGTAATGCTTACATTAAGGATTATTTTCTTATTCACATTTATTAGATCATTGCGCGGACTTCTTAAACGTGGGATCGAAGGGAACATATACTCGATTCGTTAAATTTAGGTTGATCCAATAATGTCATTTTGCGAATTTTACGAGAATAAATATCTTGGAAAAAAATTTTGTGAGCGAATAATTTGCAATAATTGTCATTTCACATTATAGCCTCTTTTGCAATATATACAATACAAATATACTTTATTTTTTTCATATCTTTTTTTATTACTTATTATCCATTTTATCTATTATTAAATATTTTTTCCTCCAACTTATCTGCGTGTATAAAAAAATTTATATTATTATTGCCACGTTTTATTAAGAGCCATACATATATATATATATATATATGTAATAGAAAAACAGAAAGATTGGTCATTGATGTTTACCGAGAAATAGCGATGCCAACGGAATAGCGAAGAATCGAGGACAGACTCGGGGCAAATTTATATTATTTAGATGCGTAAACAGTTTGGCAGTAATATTTTCCTTTCCCCCCTTCCTCACCCCTTCGCGTGCACCTCCCACGTCGATTATGGTTAATACCGGTTATACCAGTTATACCAGTTATTACGACTTGAAATAACATTTGTGTTCCTGAAATCTGTTCTCGCCAATTTTTTATCCCTTTCTCTTTTGCGGCTGCCTTTCGGAACAGTTATAGATTCGGAACCGGATATATTTAGAAACTAATTGTACGTAAAAACAAACAATTTAGCCGAACTTTAAGATAACTTTTCCAAAACGCATGATTCATCGATTCGTCCATTGTCAAATAATAATAATTATCGGCTTAATTGGGGAGCCAAAAATATATATCGCGCTCGATACTATAAATATATATTACAGCTTTGGTACTATATATAATTTAATCTCCACGACAAAATATAAATTCGAAAACCGAATCTCAAATTGATATGAATTAATAAGGAGACGATTTCGACGAATTATGAATCAAGTGCTAACACTGTAATCCATGCATGTGTATGTGCGCGTGCATTCTCGGAAAAGTTACAAATTATCTGTTCTTCAAATAAAATATTTAATAAATATACATATATTTCTTAAAATTAATTTTTATTTAGTTAAAAGTTACAAATTATCTGTTCTTCAAATAAAATATTTAATAAATATACATATATTTCTTAAAATTAATTTTTATTTAGTTAAAAGTTACAAATTATCTGTTCTTCAAATAAAATATTTAATAAATATACTTATATTTCTTAAAATTAATTTTTATTTAGTTAAAAGTTACAAATTATCTGTTCTTCAAATAAAATATTTAATAAATATACATATAATTCTTAAAATTAATTTTTATTTAGAATCTAAGGACTCTGAAAATAGGTACCGCATTAATTAATTAAACATAGAAACTGCACGATATTTAAATATCAGGATGAAAAATTGCATCGATCAAAGAAAAAATTGCGTCGGTGAAAGAAAATTTTAGAGATATGATAGCAAAAATGCTCACCCTTTTGAGGCAGATGCGTGAAGGCGGACGTGATCTCGACACTTCTGTAGCCCACGTCTTCTGAAACAAATTACGAGCGTTTTACAAAATTGATGCACGTATAGAAAAAAAAAAAACAATGTAAATTAGCTCAAAAAAAAGCAACATAAATTAGATTGCATTATCAAACGTAATCGCACATTCGCTAATTCGCAAATAACGTTGCAATTTGTGCCGATGACAGGCCGTCGATGTGCATAAATAATGGTCGACTGTCGATTGACGTCAACCTATTTGAATTACGGTAAGAGATGCCCCGAGCAAACTATTGTGAACTATTATTATATATCACGATTGATGATAGCGATGGCGGCGTCGCATACTTCAATTACAACCGGTCAGCTTATCTCAGATCGTAAATTCTTGTGACTGTACATGTTATGCATAGTTTTCATTCGACTTTCCACGTGCGGATAATTGACTTCAAAAAAATTAATAAAAAATGAATAAAAAAATTTGCATCTTATAATAAAAATAAAAAATTGACTGTAAGCATTTTAATTTTTTTTGTGTACAATTATCTAACAATAAGTTTTAAATAAAAAATAAAAAATTGCAATAAGAGAATAAGCACTGATTTTTAATAGTTTCAGACTCTTTCCTTTAATAACTAATTTCCCGTCAGTTTATTTTACATCTATAGAAATAAATAAGAAATTGAAAGAAATTAAATAAAATTTGTTTAAAGCTCAACATTAACAATTAAAACTTGAACAATCCATAAATTTGTGAAAAAAATGCATTTACGTAATACACAGGTCGAATTTTTCTATAATATTTATATTTTGCAATCGTGCGAAAATAATATTTTTTCTCACAGGCATATTTTTATTTTCTTAGGCGTTCTCTAATGCGGAAGAAAGTATGATCATAAGATGCATTGTGCGCCGGTCCCGTGCTAATCTTGGGCGCAAGTTGAGCTGCCTTGTGATTAGATAAAACACACCATCACGTCCTTTTCGCGCGTTTCATCTAAAACGTCTCGCTTACTACAAACCTGAGATGATGTCGCGTCATTCTCAAGTTTCGTGGGACTCTGTGAAGTTGGCACGGCTTTTTTCGATTTTCAAAAAAAACATATGAGTTCTAGTAGCACTTTTAAGAGTTCTAGAGTTCCTGATAGGTTTCGCAAATAGTTCTGTCAATTTAAGGTCAAAAAACGAATTTTTTAAAAATGTCGTGCTAACTTCCCGTAGCACGACACTTATGCAAAAAAAATTTTTTATTCATGTATTTCGATAGATTTCGACGAGATCTAGAGTTCCTGATAGATTTTAACAATAGTTCCGGCGAACTATGCATTCTACGAGTTAAAAAACAAAATTTAAACGATATTTGTAAAAATTTTATCTTGTTGTGCTAATAGAAATATTCATTTCTCACGGCGCAATTTGCGAGCTCTAGGATAGTTCTGACCTCCAAAATAATGTTCGACAATAGTTCTGTCGATTAACCATAATTAACTTAATTAATTAATAAGCTATTATAGCACGACATCGCGGAAGAGTGTCGTGCTGGTAGAAATATCTATTTCTCTGGGCGCATTTTACGAGTTCTAGGATAGTTCTGACCTCCAAAATAATTTTCGATGATAGTTCTGTCGATTAACAGTAAATAACTTAAATAATTAATAAGATAATTATAGCACGACACTCGAGCAAAGAGTGTCGTGCTGAGTATATATCGCAGTTCTAGGGGGAGTTTTGGCTAGTTCTCGTAGAGTTCTATGCTCTGCAATTATTTTTAAAAATAGTTCCGGCGAGTAAACATTTTTTAATAATTTTTGAAATTTTTTAATGTCCGATTTCAGCACGACACTCGAGCAAAGGGTGTCGTGCTGAGTATATATCGCAGTTCTAGGGGGAGTTTTGGCTAGTTCTCGTAGAGTTCTATGCTCTGCAATTATTTTTAAAAATAGTTCCGGCGATTAAACATTTTTTATTAATTTTTAAAATTTTTTAATGTCCGATTTTAGCACGACACTCGAGCAAAGGGTGTCGTGCTGAGTATATATCGCAGTTCTAGGGAAAGTTTTGGCTAGTTCTCGTAGAGTTCTATGCTCTGCAATTATTTTCAATAATAGTTCCGGCGATTAAACATTTTTTAATAATTTTTAAAATTTTTTAATGTCCGATTTCAGCACGACACTCGAGCAAAGGGTGTCGTGCTGAGTATATATCGCAGTTCTAGAGAGAGTTTTGGCTAGTTCTCGTAGAGTTCTATGCTCTGCAATTATTTTCAATAATAGTTCCGGCGAGTAAACATTTTTTAATAATTTTTAAAATTTTTTAATGTCCGATTTCAGCACGTCACTCGAGCAAAGGGTGTCGTGCTGAGTATATATCGCAGTTCTAGGAAGAGTTTTGGCTAGTTCTCGTAGAGTTTTATGCTCTGCAATTATTATTAATAATAGTTCCGGCGATTAAACATTTTTTAATAATTTTTAAAATTTTTTAATGTCCGATTTCAGCACGACACTCGAGCAAAGGGTGTCGTGCTGAGTATATATCGCAGTTCTAGGAAGAGTTTTGGCTAGTTCTCGTAGAGTTCTATGCTCTGCAATTATTTTTAAAAATAGTTCCGGCGAGTAAACATTTTTTAATAATTTTTAAAATTTTTTAATGTTCGATTTCAGCACGACACTCGAGCAAAGGGTGTCGTGCTGAGTATATATCGCAGTTCTAGGGGGAGTTTTGGCTAGTTCTCGTAGAGTTCTATGCTCTGCAATTATTATTAATAATAGTTCCGGCGATTAAACATTTTTTAATAATTTTTAAAATTTTTTAATGTCCGATTTTAGCACGACACTCGAGCAAAGGGTGTCGTGCTGAGTATATATCGCAGTTCTAGGGAAAGTTTTGGCTAGTTCTCGTAGTGTTCTATGCTCTGCAATTATTTTCAATAATAGTTCCGGGGAGTAAACATTTTTTAATAATTTTTAAAATTTTTTAATGTCCGATTTCAGCACGACACTCGATAACTATACTATTGCTCGAGTGTCGTGCTGAAATCGGACATTAAAAAATTTTAAAAATTATTAAAAAATGTTTACTCGCCGGAACTATTATTGAAAATAATTGCATAGCATAGAACTCTACGAGAACTAGCCAAAACTCCCCCTAGAACTGCGATATATACTCAGCACGACACCCTTTGCTCGAGTGTCATGCTGAAATCGGACATTAAAAAATTTTAAAAATTATTAAAAAATGTTTAATCGCCGGAACTATTATTGAAAATAATTGCAGAGCATAGAACTCTACGAGAACTAGCCAAAACTCCCCCTAGAACTGCGATATATACTCAGCACGACACCCTTTGCTCGAGTGTCGTGCTGAAATCGGACATTAAAAAATTTTAAAAATTATTAAAAAATGTTTACTCGCCGGAACTATTTTTAAAAATAATTGCAGAGCATAGAACTCTACGAGAACTAGCCAAAACTCCTCCTAGAACTGCGATATATACTCAGCACGACACCCTTTGCTCGAGTGTCGTGCTGAAATCGGACATTAAAAATTTTTAAAATTATTAAAAAATGTTTAATCGCCGGAACTATTTTTAAAAATAATTGCAGAGCATAGAACTCTACGAGAACTAGCCAAAACTCTCCCTAGAACTGCGATATATACTCAGCACGACACCCTTTGCTCGAGTGTCGTGCTGAAATCGGACATTAAAAAATTTTAAAAATTATTAAAAAATGTTTACTCGCCGGAACTATTATTGAAAATAATTGCAGAGCATAGAACTCTACGAGAACTAGCCAAAACTCTCCCTAGAACTGCGATATATACTCAGCACGACACCCTTTGCTCGAGTGTCGTGCTGAAATCGGACATTAAAAAATTTTAAAAATTATTAAAAAATGTTTAATCGCCGGAACTATTATTGAAAATAATTGCATAGCATAGAACTCTACGAGAACTAGCCAAAACTCCCCCTAGAACTGCGATATATACTCAGCACGACACCCTTTGCTCGAGTGTCATGCTGAAATCGGACATTAAAAAATTTTAAAAATTATTAAAAAATGTTTAATCGCCGGAACTATTATTGAAAATAATTGCAGAGCATAGAACTCTACGAGAACTAGCCAAAACTCCCCCTAGAACTGCGATATATACTCAGCACGACACCCTTTGCTCGAGTGTCGTGCTGAAATCGGACATTAAAAAATTTTAAAAATTATTAAAAAATGTTTACTCGCCGGAACTATTTTTAAAAATAATTGCAGAGCATAGAACTCTACGAGAACTAGCCAAAACTCCTCCTAGAACTGCGATATATACTCAGCACGACACCCTTTGCTCGAGTGTCGTGCTGAAATCGGACATTAAAAATTTTTTAAATTATTAAAAAATGTTTAATCGCCGGAACTATTTTTAAAAATAATTGCAGAGCATAGAACTCTACGAGAACTAGCCAAAACTCTTCCTAGAACTGCGATATATACTCAGCACGACACCCTTTGCTCGAGTGTCGTGCTGAAATCGGACATTAAAAATTTTAAAAATTATTAAAAAATGTTTAATCGCCGGAACTATTTTTAAAAATAATTGCAGAGCATAGAACTCTACGAGAACTAGCCAAAACTCTTCGTAGAACTGCGATATATACTCAGCACGACACCCTTTGCTCGAGTGTCGTGCTGAAATCGGACATTAAAAAATTTTAAAAATTATTAAAAAATGTTTAATCGCCGGAACTATTTTTAAAAATAATTGCAGAGCATAGAACTCTACGAGAACTAGCCAAAACTCTCTCTAGAACTGCGATATATACTCAGCACGACACCCTTTGCTCGAGTGTCGTGCTGAAATCGGACATTAAAAAATTTTAAAAATTATTAAAAAATGTTTAATCGCCGGAACTATTATTGAAAATAATTGCAGAGCATAGAACTCTACGAGAACTAGCCAAAACTTTCCCTAGAACTGCGATATATACTCAGCACGACACCCTTTGCTCGAGTGTCGTGCTAAAATCGGACATTAAAAAATTTTAAAAATTAATAAAAA